AGTATTGGCCTGGGGGGATAGCTCAGTAGAATAAGCGCTTGCTTGGAAAGTGCAAGAGCCTGAGTTCAATTCCCGGTTCCTCAAAAGACAAAAAAAGACACTGTTTTGTGGAAATCTTCAATGACCTTTTAAATGGGTTCATCTAATATAATTATATTTTACATAGTCCTGCATAAAAAAAAAAATGAAGTACTGAGAGAAGACAAGAACAAAAATACTAACATAAATGGAATCAGAAAAATCAGGATATCTAGATTCAAGTCCATAGCAATTTATTTATTTATTTATTTGGGTGTCATTATGTGATTCAGGCTGTCCGTAACTCACTATGGATGCCAGGCTTGTCTGGAACTTGCAGTGATCCTCCTGCCTTATCTTCCAGAATGCTGAGATTACTGGCATGTGCTATAATCACGAGAGGCCAAATCCACAGCCTCTCATGTGACTTTGAGAAGTGTTATCTCTATTTGTTTCAGACTATCTCAACACATGCAAATTAACATTGTCCTCCAAGCAGCTGGGGAGATAGTCCAGTGACATAACCGCCTGCCTGGCAAGCACAAGGTCCTGAGTTAGATCCCCAGGAAAAAGAAAAAAGTGAAAACGTCCTCCAAGGAGCTAATATGAGGTTTAGAATAAATGAATAATGATCTATTTAAAATGTTTAAAACTCCAACCAAGATATACTTCGTACTGTAAATGTTAGCTCTGAATTATCTTTATTATTAAAAGAGGGGCTAATAAAAAAACTCAGGTATTTTCTGGGAAAACCCTATTTTAGGACAAGAGTAACTATGGAATCTTGGTAAGATTTCTTGGAAAATGTGCTTATATTGTGCTTTAAGGAATAAACACATAGTCACATATAGGGAAAATCATAAACAAAAGCACCAATGGCAGAGAAATATAAAGTACTCTGAAAGAAGCAATTGGACATAGTTGAAAAGTCAACCAGTACCATATCATAGAGGACCTTGAATGAACCATGAAGGGGTCATGGAAAGCAGTGACCCCAGAATTCAAATACTGAAGGTATGTCAATCACATGTGACAGATGGCCTGGAAGACAAATATGCAGGGAAAGAGGCAAGGCCTACAGGCAGAAGCCAATAAGAAAGTTATGGGTCTCATAACCCTCTGGGTCATCAGGAGGCTAGCAATAAATGGACTCCAGGACAATATCCCAGACCTTCTGAATAAAAATCCATAAAGAGTATGACACAAGGTGGGTGGGAATCTATCTTTGTTTCAAAAGGTGATTTTCATAATCAACTAAACTGTAGGCGGTTTTTCTTTGAAGCCTGATTTGCTATAGAAATACAAATTAAATTGCTAAATTAACCTTTGTGAGAGTAGTAAAATTGAGAAGAATCATCATAGACTTTATGACAGGAAGTTAAAGGCGATACTAAGCTTCACCTTGATGGACATGAAAGACTGAGGCAGAATTACAGAAATATAGGAGAACTGGATTCATGGAAAAAATATTAGATCAATTCTGCACATATAAAATTTGAGATGCCAAAAGAGCAAATTAAGGCAGACTCATCCTTATCTCTTTGTGTGCCCTCAAATGCCATAATATAAGAACTGCAGCCTCTAACCATGAAATTCACAGTTTATCCATCACTGAGATAATGGCACAAGGCAAAAAGCATTTTAAACTTGGATAATTTTATATTCAACTACACTATTCAGCTGTCATCAAATCTGTACTTTTTATAAAAGTATTCAAGTGCCGTATATCATAACTTCCCACAGAACACTAATAGCCCAACTAGAATGTTTGATTGATCTTTGTTTCGATCTTAAGAAATAATTATATACACCTGATATTTCTCATTGAGAAGCACCACTAAGTTGGCAATTTAAATTGTAATTTATAACAAATGAGGCTTCAATTAAGAACCACCTACAGTCAGCAGGGACTAAGGTTTTCCTAAAGTTTCTGTTCTCTGAAACTTTTACTTACTCTATATACTTAAATGGTCTAGACTGCACCCATAATTTCCATTATTACATTTATGCCAAGAACGTCCCGATTTCTCTAGTGTAGATGAGTATTTTCCCTCAATTTCAGTATGTCCTTATCTGACTTGAATCCACCCACTTCTCTCAGTTTCTATGTTTAACATTCAAATCTAAGCCAAAATTAACTTCCACCCAGACCAAGTCTTTAACTAGTGGTGCGCCAACACTTGCTTTCGATCCATTTTTCATTTTCCACACACCAACATAGGGACTTTTCAACAAAAAAAAAAAAACACTACCCCCTTAGATCCTCCCCCACTGAAAAGTTTGTAATGGCTTCTTCTTGCTTTTAAAAGTCTAACGTCCTTAGCATCCTATATATATTCCATTACAGGATGAGTTGTTCTTTCTCACTTTTCTCCCAAGTACTAATCAGGCCTGACGCTGGCGCGTTTAGGGTGGTATGGCCGTAGGCTCTCTCTGCTTTTCTGTAGTCTCATGTCTCACTACTCTGTTTATTCTGTGCACTAGTTAAACTACTGAAACGCTCCTTAATTCCTTTTCATCCAGGTGACTCCTATACATCCTGGTTCTCAAACAAGTATCTTAGGGAGGACTACCTCTGATCCCACGAACTAGGTCAGGACACTTAAATCCTACCCGGTCAGTCTGTCCCTCTATCAGAACATCTATTACCCTCTGCGATAGGTATTGAGTTGTGTTTTTGTTTATAACTCCTGACAGACTTTTTGATATGAAGACAGAGACAGAGTTCCTCGTGTTGAACACTGTAAACCAGGGACAAGTACCATGCTATTAGAATTAATATCTCAGTACTGCGGGACCCTGACTCTAGCTGCAACAGCTTTCATCTTTTGCCCCTGAGGCTGGCTGCACTATGCTATTGCTTCGCATACATCAGCAGATCTCCGTGACTAAGGCACTTTATTCAGCTAGCAAAGGAAAGCGAACAGGTGGAGTCTCCTTCCACTTTCCACCTGGAAAATAAATGCTTCTCACTCCACCGCCGCACTAGGCAAAACGCTGTCCCACCTGTGAGCGGCCCTGGCGGTTCAGTAAGGGGAACTTAAAAGGTGCATTAAAGAACAGACAGGGATAACTGCGGCCCAGGGGTGCTCGGGATCAAAACGAAGGACAAAGGTTCGTAGTTCCCCACGTACCAAGAGAAGTGGCGCTGCCTCGGTGCAGTCCCACCCGCCCCGGAACAAAGCCTGGAGAGGACGGCGGGACCCTGAACTGCACGGGAGCGTCCTTGGAGTCGAGGACGCGCCTCTGCCGGCCGGGGAAGCTTCGGGAGGAGTCCGAGGCCGCCGGCGAAGTTGCAGCGCTGCCCCACCGGGGTCGTTTGGTGCAGGGCTCACAGCCGGGGCCCGCACTCATGCTGGGACCCGCAGCTCACGGTCCCTGGGCCGGCCCGGGCGGAGCGCCTCATTCACTAACCCTGAGGGGCACGGACTGCGCCTCCTTCTCGGCGCGTCTCCGCACCATTCCCTCTCTTGCCGCTGCGTGCTTCTGCAGTTGCTGATCCGCCGGGCTCCGACTCGGACCCCGTGCTGTCGCTGGCCTTGCTCTTCCGCACGTAGGAGACCTGCCTCGGAATTCGCCGAGGAGAGGATTCCTTCACTTTCCCACCACCGGAAAGTTGCCGTCAGGAGCTCCGACTTCCGGGAGCATGCCGTCGCAAAGCGGAAGTGCCGTGCTTGACGGCCGCCGGCTCCCGGAAGGTCAGCGTGTGAAGGAGGCAGAAGTAACGCGGGTTTCCCCGCTGCTGCCTGGGAGCAACGGCCGAGCTCTGTCCCTCGGCCTGAGGCGGCGGCGGGAGACGGGCCGAAGTTTGCTGTGAGACAATGGAGGGCGGTGGGGGCAGTAGCAACAAAACCACGGGTGGCTTGGCCGGCTTTTTTGGAGCGGGCGGAGCTGGTTACTCGCACGCAGATTTGGCCGGAGTCCCGCGTAAGTATCAGGCCTCGAGTGCTGGCGTCTCTCGCGGCTTCCTGCGTCTGCAGCAGAAGTGTGCCGCCCCTTTCTTTTTCATGCTGGTGTTCACAAGCGTTAATGCTGATGGTGGGGTTAACGTACCCGCACGGCTGCTCTTTAGTGGTGGAAGGAGCTTGGTGGGGGCCCCAGGAATCTCTTTGTGATCGACCTGGGCTCGGGAGGTGACGCGTGTTTTCTTCGTTTATATCCAGCCTCCTTCGCTTTCGTCACTCTTGTTTCTCTGTTGGACCATGTGCTTGACCCTGGATTAAGACAAGCCCACCTATAGAAGTAAACTTATTCCAAAGAGTGAGCACAAAGATGCATATTTTGAATTGCAAAGCAGCTATTAGGGCAAGTTGCTCAGTAGTAATATTATAGATGAGGAACAGGAGTTGGGACAATCCAAGAAAACCATTTGGAGGAAGTTGGAAAGTGAGATGGACATGAAGAAGGCGTGCAAGTAAGAATTACAGGAGAGGAAATAACGCAAGGTGGAGGAAACAGAGGCATGAATATCCTCAGTGTTATGAATGTCTTTAGTTAACTATGGATATCCAGGAGGATCAATAGAATTTGGATTTAGAGATGGTGCAGAGTTGGTGGTGGATAAGCCTTTAAAAATGCCTTCTTTTTGAAAGTTCTTATCTTACCACTTTTGTGTTCAAGAACTCAAAACCTTTTTATATCTCTAATGTCCATGTGTGACAATAGCATAGGAAACAGTTTGTATATGTCTTAGGACTTTTGAATTTCAGGTCACAATGGGTATTATTTTAGGAGGGTTTTTTTGGCTAGCTCAGGAGACCTTAAGGGCAGGTCTCAAAAGGCATGAGGAACTGGGGATTGAACCACAGCATCCTGAGCCAGACTACTTTGTTTAAGTAGGCACTAATGGGCAGGTCCCCCTGGGTATTATTTTAATCTAACAAAATACTGTTACATTAATTTGGGTAAGGCTTAAAGGTAGTCTACGGAACCAGAGGAGTACCATTTGTTGAGCTGCTACAGTGTGCCAACTACTTTTCTGATGCAGGACTGCAGTTTTAGGGGAAAAAAATCTGGTGTGAAGTATACTCCTTATAAGCCAAATTACAGAAACATTGCTGATAATGAGAGGTAAATGGTGTAAAGAAAATAAAATGGCCATGAGGTGGTGATGGGAAGAGGAGGACCTTTTAGAATGGATCAGAGTTGACATTTGAGCTGTGACTGAAATGTTGTGCACATATTTGAGAGGCAAGTATCCAGGAAAAAGGCTACTAACTGTCCTGAAACAAAAATTTGGCATATCTGAGGAACTGTTGTTAGGTCAGTGTGCCTTTAGAGTTGCAAGGGAGCTGGAGTGATACACAATGAAAACAAGTGTTGAAGATGGCAGACTGATGACAGTGTTTGTGGGCAAGGATAAAGGATTTGCTTTGATTTTAAGTACAGAGGGAAGCCAGTTGAGTTTATTTACTTAGGTGATTCTGTTTGCTACACAAAAGCTAAATTGAAGAAGGAAGAGGATGTAAGTTAGGTAGAAAGTTGTTGCTGTGAGATTTGGTGCTGGGAGTAGGATGCTAACAATACAATTGGTAACAGTTCAGAGTAGATATTAAAAATAGAACAAGACTTTCGTTTGGTAAAATGATCAGTCATAGTCAGTGTATATATTTGTAAGGAATAGCTGAAACATAAGATTCAAAGGGTAAACTTTAAAGTTGGGAAAATTTACTTTCCTTGATAGTTTTTTTTCCAGTCTTCAAAGTTAGTGAATTTCAAATCCTGCCCTCTGAAATTCTGCATTTCCTTTTGCGCTGGCCTCCATCCTTATGGTAAAATCAACAATTCTCTACCCTGTCAGAATAAATGAACCCTGCGTTAAGATCTGACGAAACCATCCTGTGGTTTATCCACATTTAGAAGCTAAACTTAACCTCTCCTTTTTCACCTGTTCTTTTGTAGACCACATAATTGTTAGGCATTTCTTTAATAACGTGAAAGAAGCTAGTTTTATAAAAGGCATGCGCTTGCTTCCTGCTAGTTTGTTCTGCTTCTGCTGGTACCTTTCTTACATGAACACTTTACCCACTAGTGCAAGACTGATTTGAGTCTGAGGGACTCCAAAAGAAAGGAGCCCCTAAACAGAAAGGAGGGATAAAATGGGGGGTTGGGAGATCTCACATTCAATGACCTTAGGTCAGTTGCAAAGTGTGTATAGCAATTGAGCTACCATTATATGAAATAACTAAAGAATTTTGTTGAAATATGACATTTTGTTTTTTCTCTAGTAACTGGTATGAACCCTTTGTCTCCTTATTTAAATGTGGATCCACGATATCTTGTGCAGGTAAGATTAAGATTTTATTAGCTGGTGCTTTATCTTACCCTGAAAGAAGAAAAGTTCCCAGAGTTAACATTGACTTGAGCTTTTTTGGAAGCACTACCTGCATTCATCCTTTTATTTCCTCACTAACAAGCCCTGGGGACCAGCATCTTGTGTCATCAACTGTTTAACTCTCTTCAAAAGTTTTGTTTGTGTTTTAGTTGTTAAAATCAAGGAATTAGTGAAAACTATCCTGGTGAAAATAAAATTTATTTTTAAAGTTTAGTTTACTGGGCTAAATGCTAGAAGGGTAGTGGGCTAACTGACAGTTTTAAAGATTACTGGTTAAGTATCGGGAAAGCAAGATTGACGACATTGAAAAATTAAAGTACTATGATACAATGAAGCAATAAAAGAATATAGCATACACAAAAAATTACCACAGTAGATACAGAAAAGTTTGATAAAATCTAACCCTCTTCTAGAAATTACTCAAACTAGAAATACAATGGAACTGCTTTAGCCTAATGAATGGTAGCTATAGAATATCCAAAGTTAATATTTAATGGTGAAAAGCTGAAAACTTTACACTTAAGATCAGGAGCTACACTAATGTACCCACTCTTAAATTCTGTTTTAACATTGTCTAGCAGGACAGTTAGGCACAAGAGAATAAAAAGGCATCCAGATTTAAAAGGAAGGAAAACAGTCTGAAATGGCATCCAGATTGAAAAGGATGGAAAATAATCTATTTACAAATGAAAACAGTCTGATTGTGACTCTAGAAAATCAAAGAGATGCACAAAAAAAGGTTAGCGTAAATGAGTCAATGCAACAAGTGTTAGAACTAGTAACAAGACCAGTTGCATAAATGAGTTGTTTCTGCAGTAGCAGTGAACAGTTAAAAAATAAAGTTATAAAAACAATTGTTTTACCAGAAGTAGCAAAAGAAATACAGTTAATAGGGGTTCAAAAATTATACACTTGAAAACTATAAAACATTGAAACAAAGACCTAAGTAAATGTAAAGACATTCCATGATTATGAGAAATTCAGCATTGTTAATATGACAGTATTCTTGAAATCTGCAGTCAGGGTATGTCTCAGTATCCATGCTAGATTTTTTTTTAAATTGACAAGTTGATTCTGAAATTAAGATGAAAATTCAGGGAATGTAGACTAACCAAAAATTTTGGTAAGGAACAAATTGGAGGACTTCTCAATTTTCAAACTTACTACAAAACTACAGTTATTAAGACCCTGATATTAGCATAGAAGTTTAATCTATAGATTAGTGAAATAAAATTCAAAGTAAAAAGAAATCCTTACATTGTTTATAATCAGTTTGTTTTTATCAAAATGTCAAGACAACAAATAGAAATGGAATCTTCAAAAATGATGCCAATGCAAGCAGGCTCAGGGGCCCACGGTTTGATCCCCAGGCCTGCTGCACTGGCCCCACCCCCAGGGTGGGCTGAGCTGGCAATTGAAACTGGGCGTGGTGGCCTGCCTCTGTAATCCCAGCTCTTGGGAAGCTGTAAACTGGTGGGTGGATCACTGAGTCTGATTTAGTAGTGAGACCCTGAACACCCTGTAGACACTTCCCTAAACTACAAAAATAAATAAACAAAAATGATGCCAGGACAATTTGAATCTTAGTGTAGAATACTGAAGCTCGGTCCTCAACACCATATACAGATGGTAACTCAGATTGGATCAAAGACTTCAAGGGCTAAAGCTATAAAACTCAGAAAAAAATCAGACATAACTTGTGGTTACATGAGGCAACAGTTTTGTAGATGTACCACCTAAGGCTAAAGTAATGAAAAAATTGATGAAACTTAAAAAAACATATTTAATTTTGAAGTGCTAAAGGCAATATCAAGGAAGAACACAAAGATTGGAAAAATTTATAAATCATTTATCTACTAAGGGACTTTATCTAGAATATTTTATTTTTGAGAATTTTTGCCAGACGTGGTGGTGCATGCCTGTAATGTTAGTACTGAGGCTGAAGCAGGAAGATCATGAGTTTGCAGCCAGCCTGGGATACATAATATTAGTATTCAAGTTTGGCTTGAACTACATAGCAAGACTCTGTCTCAAAAAAAATTACTGGGGCTGGCCAGATAGCTCAGTGAATGAAAGCGCCTGCTTAGGCAGAGGCAGGGACCAGTTAGAACCCCGGCCTGCTGTAGTGCTCCCCACTCCTCCCGCGGGGTCCTGGCTGAGACAGTGATTGAGACTGAGTGTGGTGGCACACACCTATAATTGCAGAGCTTGGGAGGCTGAAAACAGGAGGATCACTGAGTCCTATCTTGTGAGACCCTGTAGACCCTGTACTAAATTTTTTTAAAAAATTATTTTAAAAAAAACCAATTATTAAATCGTAACAGATCTGAGTAGATATGTCTCCATGGAAGTATGAAAATAGTAATCACATGAGAAGTGTTCAAGGTCATTAACTAGAAAAGTGGAAACCAAAGAACTGCAACGAAATACTACTTTATATCTACCAGGATGACTAACCACAGAAAATAATAAATCCTGGTAAGGATATGGAGAAATTAGGCCTTTATCACTGCTGGTAGGAAGGCAAATGATACAGCTGCTTTTGGAAACATTCTGGCATTTTGCCAAAAGGTTAAAAATATGGTTTTGTTAAGACCTGCCAGTGCTACTCTTAGATAACTGGGAGAATTGGAAATATATTTGTATAATTTTACATGATCATTCACAGTGGAACTACTTATAGTAATCAAAGCAGAAATAAACCAAATGCCTATTAATTGATAAATGGAAAAGTAAAATGTGGCACATTCATACAATGTCATGGCATTTGGCTATAAACGGAATGAATTAATGATACATTCTGTGGTATGGATGAACCTTGAGAATTTGCTAAATCTGAGAAGCCAGCTGCAAAAGATCATATAATGTGCGTTTATATTTATGTACATTGTCCAGCTTAGGGGAATTTGCACATAGAAAATACATTAGCAGCTTTTGAGAAGTAGGAATAGATGAGGAGTAACTGCTAACAGGTATAGGATTGTTTTAGGGATGGTGAAGATGCCCTAAAATTGATCTCAATATTGGGTGTATAAATACGAATGTATTTGATACGGTTCATCATAACTGTGTTTTAAAAATTTTTGTCTTATTTCTGGATTGAAGAATAATTATTTGGTCAAATATAGTGATAACCTCAGTTCACAAACTCAGTTCTCTCCATGATTCTGTTTGCAAACTGAACTGGGTAAGAACTGAATCCCAGTAAGGTCAACATTGAACCCAACTGTTGAATTTGAGTCTTTTCTTGTCACAAACTTGGTTTGATGGAATGAATCAAGTTTGTGAACCGACTACTGTAACATGCCGGAAACCCTCAAATAAGAAGCATAATTTAGAATTAAGGTATTAATTTAAAAGTCAGGAAGTACCCAAAAACTTGCAAGATTATATACAATGTTTTATAATGTGGGAGCTCTTCAATTTGAAAAAGACTGAGTGTCCGTTCATTGGTGCAACTTTTGGTAAGGTTGTGTGCACAAATAATCTGGTGCAGGCTATATTTGATGGTGCCTGACTAATCCTAACCATGGGTGCTGAGGCAGGAAGGCCGTGAGTTCGAAGCCAGTCTAGGCTAGATAACAAGATTGTCTCAAATACAAAACAAACAAAAACCTAGTGCAGAGCTACTTATCCTAATCAAGAACACATTTACTAAAGTTTGTATTTGGCATAGGAATGTGGGTTTAGTATTTCCTGTTATATACACTATCTTAAATGTTGCACTGTATGTGTTGTGTAATATCCATTGGGAGTTATTTTGCACAACTGAATTGAAAATGTCCTCCACATAAGTACGACTTTTCAAAATTTATCTTTTTTTTACTGTTAAAAATGATAGCATTTCTTAACCTAGGATTTTGGGTTCCCTCCCTTTGGGTCACAGTAGATGTGTGCACATATCTACTAAGTAGTTTTTGAAAGTTATCTAAAGAACATATCTCAAGCAGCTAAAAGTTAGTAAAGTAGGGCATGTAGGGTATAGCCCAGTGGTAGAATGTTTGCTTAACATAAGCCAGGCTCTGGATTCCATGCCAGCACCACCAAGAAGAAAAAAGAATTGTTAAGGGGGTAATTTGCCCATGTCTGACTGGTCCGATCTGTTCTTTAACAGTTTTGTCCAGTTTTAGTGATTATTTGGTCTCACAGTAAGAGGGTGCTCAGTGATGACCTGCTACAGAAGAATACTACTACCAGTCTTCTGCTTCCAGATTGATCATCTATCAGCTATCACTTCTCTTAGCTTTCTGTTTACCTTATTTTATTTTTATTTATTTTAATGTATTTGGTACAGTCTCACTTCGCATCTTAGGCTCCTAGTGATCCTCCTGTGTCCAGCCTCCCCAGCCCTGGGATTACAGGCTTGCCCTGCCACACTGGGACTCAGGCAGTGGTTCAGTACACCTGGGGGGCAGAGGCAGTGCGGCTTGTGGTGCCGAGGATCGAACCAGGTCCCTGTGCTTATCTAAACAGGCACTTAGTCCCCCGAACCGATCTCTGTTTACCTTTCTTTAGACCTGTCCTCATTTATATAATGTAGGCTGTTTTATTTTTGATTAAGATAGTTGAGTTTGCTTTAAGGTTTGGCTTTCTTGAAAAACTACTGTGAAATTTTTATTTATTTATTTATTTTTGCAGAACCAGGGATTGAACTCAGGCCCTTGCACTTACCAGGGAAGCGCTTATTCTACTGAGCTATCTCCCCAGCCCCTAAACTTTTAAAAATGTGCTTTGCATTAATATGCCTGGAGGACACTCATTTTGACTTTCCTTACCAACCTTTTAGGATACAGATGAGTTTATTTTACCGACTGGAGCTAATAAAACGCGGGGCAGGTTTGAACTGGCCTTCTTTACAATTGGAGGATGTTGCATGACTGGTGAGTGTAATCTTTTTTAAAGTATCCCAAGTCCAAGTAGTTTATGGGTCCTAAAATCAAAAGCAATAAGAATATTGGTTTCAGGGTTTTTTATAAAATCAATATTTTCATTTTTGATACTGAAAGTGGGTCAGAAATATTTTTTTTTTTTTTTTTACTACAAAGCTATATTTTGATGAATTTTTGCAATTCACCAGGGGCTGCATTTGGGGCAATGAATGGCCTTCGGCTAGGATTGAAGGAAACCCAGAACATGGCCTGGTCCAAACCAAGAAATGTACAGTAAGTATTAGGTAATCGTATGACATATAAATCCTTGAATGATAATCTCTGAGTTGTTAGTTTGATGAGTATAACTCTGAGGTTATAAATTTTTAGAGACTTGATTCTTTTTTCTTTTTTCTTTTGTCTTCAAATCAAAGGATCGAAGAAATTGGATTATTGACTCTTAGCTTTTCAAAGGACTGAATTTTTGAGTGACTACCTGGTGCTACCATAGCCTGACTTTTCAGTTACATGTATTTAGTTTTTCAGGCTGTGTGACATGCGTTTTCACTTGGCGAATTCGTGTATGAAATTTGCTCAGAAGGGTGTAGAACCAGGGTATTTGATAATGAAGTACGCAGCTCATAAGATAGATGGCTAGGTCTATTATTTTTTATTGCCTTTATTCTTTGCTTCTGAAACTAGAGTGCCATATAAACTTTAAATAAAATTATTAGAACTTAGTTTTAGAAGACTAAAGGCTGTCTTTTCTCATGAACTTGAAGCCTACACAGAGAAAGGAAAGGACAATTAAATGGGTCAGAAAATGTGTATGTCTTCACTCTGCTGAAAAAATAAATGTGACCAGTCCTTTTCGATGTCGCTGCGCAGTGTGTTGCTCACATTTGCTGTTTTTTTGTTTTCTTTTTTCCTTTAAGAAAAAGGGAGGGCTGGGGAGATGGCTCAATAGAATAAGTGCTTCCCTGGCCAACACAAGGGCCTGAGTTCAATCCCTGGTTCTGGCAAAAAAAAAAAAAAAAAAAAGAAAAAGAAAAGAAAAAGGGGCCTGGGAGATGGCTTAGTAGAATAAGAGCTTGTCTGGCAACATAACAAAAAAAAAAAAAAAAGAGGGAGAGAGAGAAAAAATATAACTGCTTTTATTTTTACCTTTTCAGTTTTTACTTAACACCCTTTTTAAAAAAGGAATTACACAGTGTACCCTTTCATGATTTTGAACTAGGGTTCTTTTAAACTCCATTATCTGTGAATATTGTTCTGCCAGCAGATGGCAGCAGATGTGCTAAAGTTAGACCTTAAGACACTTGAAGGCCTGTCAAGTTTTCCTGTTATAGTGTGGATCATTGTACGCATTACCAGCCCAGATCCTTCAGTATTTTTGTACAATTCCTAACATTATCCTCCTTGGTCAGGTTATTTTTATTTTTTGTATTAAAATTTTGATTTTATAGAGAAGTAGAACACCTGTCTACATAACTTCAATGAACATCAGCCTGTTCTGTCTCCTTTTCATCTGCTGTTTATTTTGAAACAAATCCCCAGCATTATGTTAGATATGAATTTGGAATTGTAAAGTGTTGTGAGGAAGAATAATTTACTTCATTTCCTAAAATAGTAATAGGTAATCATTCTGATCTTTCTAGATAAACAGTAGTTAGTAATAGAAAGAAGGTAGGATTTATAGCCAGGCAGACATATATGGCTTCAGAGTCCCAGTTTCATGACTTGCTGTTTTGTCATTTTGAGTAAACTCTATTTTCTGCCCTTCAGGTTGGTAAGAGATGATAAAATAAAAAGTAGGTAAGGCTTTGTTCACTCAAGTGGATTTCAACGACTTCCTTGTTAGAGCTACAGTAGGTCCTCTGTAGATAAGAACCACATTTGCAGTTCTAGGCAAGGAGTGATTTAGCAGGGCTCAGTCGGTGCCAGATGCTTTTGTTACACATTATCTGTGTTGCTAGATTGCATCCTGAAGGATGTCACCAGTATTCAGTCCCACCAATGAGACAGTAGTGGAAATTAATAGTTTTAAAGCTTAGTACATATTAAAAAATTATTGAATTTCAGATTTATTAGTAAGTATGTAACATAATTAGCAAAATACTTGCAACAATTATTAATTTTTAAATATATTGCTTTGTAAGTAATGCAAATTTTTGTTACTGTAAAGGTTTATTAAATTTTTTAATAGATGAGCTCTTCATCTGTTTGTTATTATACTTCCATTGTTTCCAGCAGTAGTCAGCCATCCGGACAAACTCATTGCCGTGATGGTGTTACACTGCTGGGAGAGCATTGTCTTGCCTTCTTTCTCTGGTGGTCTGTGTCGCTGTTCTGGTGGCATAGGGCACTGGCATAAGGCATGACTGTGCTTCCTTGAGAGTGTGCTAAGCATTCAGTTTGGCTGCTTGGTTCTAGTCTGGGAGCAAACAGTGCTATTTCTATCTCTTCAGTTCTGCTTTCTTTACTTTGAGTCTAGATAGTATTCTGAGTATGCGCTCTTCCCGAAAGAAATGAAGCCAGTTTGTCATAGTCGTGACATTTTTCACATTATCAGTTTCTCTGATCTTTTTTTTTATAATATAGATTACTATTTAAAACTTTTGTTTGTTTAACATACATTCAAAATGCTGAAGATTTTAACCTAACCCTTATCTGCATAGAGTAAAAGCTAGTTTTCAAAATCGGAGGAGGTAGTACGCTGCATGCTAAAATTAAAAAAAAAAAAACAAACAAAACTTCAGAGTATGAGTGTTAAGGGCTGCGGATGTAGCTCAGCAGCATAAGCATCTGCCTGGCAATCCTGACTTTGATTCCCGGCACCAAAAAAAAAAAAAAAAGTAAAGCAGAATAGCTGCTTTTTAAAAAAAATTGCTAGAGAGATAATGATTCTAAATTCAGATTCTTTGTTTTTCTTTTCTGGTAGGATTTTGAATATGGTGACTAGGCAAGGGGCACTGTGGGCCAATACTCTAGGTTCTCTGGGTAAGTAGAAATCTCATTTACTAATAAGTTATTAATGCAGAAAAGAACATACAAGTATTGTGGACAACTTGGTCAACATAAATTGTGTTTCTAGAATATGGAACAATTATATTTCAATCTGCTCTTGTGAATGGGGTAAATACCACAAACACTGTCCAAGCAGAACATCAAATCATGTTTTAACTAAGTGGAAATTCATATTATTTTCCAAGGCAAAGGTTTATGTGCGTTAGGAAAGGTTCAAGGTCCTGTAGTGAGACGTGACGGATTAGTCCTGTCCTTCTGTTGTGTTTTCCTAGTAATCTACTCAGCAGTCTGTTCACCCGAGTGGCTTTCAAGGACCTTTCAAGGCAAGTCAGAATTGTAGTAGGTCCTTTATAGATAAGCACATTTGCAGTTCTAGGCAAGGGGAGATTTAGCAGTGCTTAGTCAGAGTCAGACACTTTGATCACATCATTTGTAAATGATAGTCTTTTCATTATTGATGACATACATGCTCTGATATTCAGGGTTTTAGTAATTTATTAACATAGCTGAATTTCTGATTACCTTTTTATCTGTGGCAGAATAAGAGATTGCAGACAACTCATTGAAAAGATAGAAAAAGCCTCAGATGAAGCAGTGTGTTTATACACCATGCAGTCAGTTTTGCACTTTGGATTCTGGTGTATAGCTGCTCCCACATGCTGCTTTTGCTGAGCCTTTCTTGGTTTCAGTGCTGCACATCCCATGTTGCAGAAACACTTCAGTCCAGGGCTTACTGGATCGCTCACTGGTCACCCTGCTCATGACGCTGTGTGTTCTCTCTGTCCTGTGACCAGTCACAGTATTCTTATGGTCGTTTTTGGTTAAGTAAATTGACCACAAAGATGTCCTTGTATAGACATGTACATAGCTCAGCAGGGGACTTGGCAAGACTGAACTTGATGTGACATTGTTGGAGGGCCAAATGCAGCTACAATTTTAGAACGGGTAAGAAAAAGTTTGAGTGCAGTCCTGCCTAGTAGGAATCTGTAAAGGCTCAAAAAAAGGGATGTTTGAAGAAAGGTCTTAGTAAGTCAGATGATGCTAGAGTTACAGTTTTCAAGTATGAAAAGAAAATCTAACATTGTTTTAAATTATGTTTTCCTTTATAACAAAAGTATATGGATGTTTAATCCACAGTATAGCTGTTAGGGGTAACATATGAGTGAAAGCATACAATATTCTTGAGACTGTCCAGTAGCGCTTTCCAGAAAGAGCAACTCTTGATGTTTCTTCTGAGTCCACAGATGTTTCTTTTTGTAGCAGTCATAGTCATGCATGAGTGCATGTGTGTCTGCCTCACATGTTAATGAATGTCATTCTTCCTATTTTAAATGATCATATACTGTTTCATTATGTGGAAAGCCCCTTCTCTATCAGTCCAGGTGGTGCAAATACTCTTGATGGGCATTCTCTAGTAGCCAAGGTTTTACTGTTTAAAACAGTGTTCAGTGATTGCTCTATATCCACCTTTGAATAAATCCATCAGAAATAATAGCCACACTGACTTTTAGTCATGATTTTATTACTGATTACTTCCATTTCTTCATAGCTTTGCTCTATAGTGCATTTGGTGTTATCATTGAGAAAACACGAGGTGCAGAAGACGACCTGAACACAGTGGCAGCTGGAACCATGACAGGCATGTTATATAAATGTACAGGTGGGTGCTGCTGAACATAGAGCTAGTTCTTAGTTGAAACACTTGAAGCATGCTTGTTATTACAGTTCTCAGGGCAAACTGTAGCACTCAAACATTGTGGTTATTTTGGTTTGTTTTTGTTGTGTAATTGTAAAGTATAACACTATGTTAAGACATAGTTAAGGATCAAGGATTAATGCTTGACACTAGTAATTATATTTGACTGTACTTTTAGAATTATGAAACCAATCTCTAGAGCTTTTCTTCTTGGAAAACTAATACACTGTGCTCATTAGATAAAAGTTCCCCACTTTTCTCTCCAGTTCTTGGCAGTCTTATAATTACTGTCTTTGTATATGATTACTGCATGTACCTTGTACAAGTTAGCATAATATCCTTAAGATTCATCCATGCTGTCTCATATCTGGTTTTTTCCCTCTCTAAAGCTAAGTAATATTGTGTACATTTATGTATCTTTCCTGTGTCAAAGGATACTTAGTTTGCTTCTATCTCCTGAGTATTGTGAATAATGCTGGTAGAACAGGCATCTGCTAATTCTTGTTTATGACCCTCATTTCAGTTCTTTTAGGAATATACCTGGAGTTGGATTATTGGGATATGTAGTTTATGATTAGTTTTATTTTTGACATTGAAACCAAGTTAAGATTCCCTGGGAATATAGGTCAGTGTTTGCCTAGTATGTATGAGGCCCTGAATTTAATTTCTAGCAGTACAAAGAAAAAGAAGAGGTAAGTTTTTTTTCTGAACCTTTCAATCATTTTATGTATTTTAGACACTGTAAGCAGTGGGACATTAAAAATTACTGGTTTTGTTTTATACCAATAATTTTGGCTTTGTTTGATCTGTGAGATCAATACATTAACACACACAAGACCAAAGCCAAGATCTATTTAAAAGTATGTTAATCCTGTGAGAAACGTACTCTACTGGGAGATGAGCATGATCCATCAGAGGTGTGATCTATTTTCTCTGTATAATTTTTCATGAGTTTAGATGAAAATATGCAGATAATATCTATTTTTTTTCCCTTTTTACTACTGTGTATGTGTGTGCTGTTCCTGAGCACATGTATATATTCTAGTGTGAATTTGTTACTTTCCTGGGGAAAGTACCAGACATGTATAACTGAAAGGAGGAGTTTTATTTTGTATAGTTTCAGAGTATTCACCTGGGTCCAAAGCAGAAATATGGTGAAAGGGTGTAGTGGAGCAGAGCTGCCCAGTTTGTGGCACTTGGGAAGCAAAGCACAAGGAAGAGTCAGAGATACACCCTCCAAATGCATGTCCCACTGATCTGCTCCAGCAGGAGGGGCCCTGTCTTCCGTCAGCATGTCAGCTATGAATTTATCAGAGGATTAGTCCACTGATGAGTACAATGCCTTTCCCAAATCTCCACCTTTGAACAAGAGACTGTTAGGGAACATTTAGATCTATAACACTGGCATTGAACCCAGGACTTTGTGCAGAATAAGCACTCACTCTACCACTGTGCTACATCCCCAACCTAGTGCCAAATTATTTATTTCTATCATGTTGGTTTTATCTTTATTTACCTTTCGTAACTTTATTTATGATAAACAATTTTAAAAGTAACGTAACTATTTCTTTAGTTTTTAAACTTAGAATATTAACTTTCTACTAGAAAAACTGTTAGTTCCTGTAAGAATTGTACAAAATGTTCTTGTTGGAGAAAGGAAGTCTTACCTTTTCTAGAACATCTCATTTACAAATCTCTGAAGGGAATAAAGGTCACTTTTGTTTTATAGACACACTAACACCCACATAAGTTACTTTCACTTTCTGCCTAGCTCTTTAGTTTTTTATTTTATTTTATTTTTTGTGCAGGGTCTCACTACAGTGAGTGCAGCTTGGACTCCTAGTGATCCTCTTGTTTTCAGTCTTCCGAGTGCTGGGATTACACGCATGTGCCACCACGCTTGGACTCAGTTGCCGGTTCAGGGCGCCCCAGGGGCAGTGCTGGCATAGCATGTGATGCCAGGGATCGAGCCACATCCCTGTGCTTGCCCAAGCAGGCATTTAGTCCACTGAGCTATCTTGCCGGCCTTGCCCAGCTCTTTATAGGCCTTGTGCCATCAACCCCAAATCTGACTCCAAACACATTTATTGCCAAACCAAATGGCCTCCAGAATACGGAAATCGGGGAATTTTTAGAAAAGGGAAAAGACTAGTAACAATTGAGGGTGGACTAGGGTGTGGACTGAATTTCAAGTGTATCTGGTCTCATGATGAACATGGGACTTTTCTCCTCCTCTTCTTTAGGAGGAGGAAGTCTGACCAAATAGTTTAGACCTAGAACCTGGAGGCGAGGGTGAGAAGTTTAAACTTAGACCAGAGGTCCTCAGACAAGTGGCAGATGATGCTCATCGTGACTACACATTGTCTGTGTGGACCAAAATGCCACACAGACCCATGTAAATATATACAGTTACTGTTATGTCAGTTAAAAGTATGTTAATAAAAAAGTGATTATATAAGCAAGCCTGGACACTTCCAGCTACACAAGACTCAAAAACTTTTCTCTGGACAGGGAGTCTTGGAGACATTTTTGTGGGAGATTAAACTAGAAATAACCGAGTAGATATGATTATAGGTAGAAACAATTCAGAATGGTCAAGAGAAAATACTACTATAGAAGTTTAAGGTTTATAATACTGACATCAACATAGGTGATAGGTAGTGAATGTTACATTTGATGAAATGGGGGATGGTGAGGGAGATGTAGACAAGGGAAGATGATTGGATTGGTAGGTTTTCTTGCTTTGCTTTTCTTTGTCTTGTGACACTGTGGAAGTAGCGTGATTGAGTAGCACCCACACCATTGTCCCACCTAGTCTCTTCCAGGAAGTACTGAACTCAGTAATATAATTCAGTTTAACTATTTTTTGACTTGTGTACTCTGTCCTTTCAGAACTTTCTTTTGCCAGTAATTCCTGGCTGTCACTCTCATTGCTGGGATAAATGCCCAACACCCAAAATGAAGGAAGGAAAGGTTTATTTAGCTCACAGTTAATGTAAATTTCAGCCCATACTCAGCTTGCTCCAAGGCAGTGTGGCATAGGGCAGAGGGCAGCAATTCATGGCAGGTGGCAAAGAGCAGACAGCCAGGGGCAGAATAGCAGCAACAATGCCAACAGAGAGGAAGTTTCCCTAAGTTACATTCAGGCTATCTGCCCCAGGTTGTGTGTAGTGCTCATACCCATAATCCCAGCAATACTAGGACCCATAGTCCCACCCTTGAACATGAATTAATCTCAAACTCTAGAGGTCCCTGCCCCATGACTGCATGAGGCTTTGGGGGAACAACTAGACACAAACCATAAAACTAGCCATTTGGGTAATTGTTTTCTACAAGTGCTAGTAAGTTTCCTGGATCCCTGTGAGAACACTAGGAAAGTTTTGTAGGGTTTTAAACCCAGAATTAGTAGGTGGTATGGGCTCTATTCAGGAAAAGTATGAAAGTTACAGTGCACCTATGAATAAATGGAAATGCCAGTACTGTATTTAGAAGGTAGGATGCCCCCAACCCCAGCCCATGTGCTTCAGTTTGTGAGTTGCTTAGGTTTCTGGTTGTTTCTGGTCTCTTAGAAATGCTGGACACTGTATAAACATTGTATAAACCAGTTGACAAGCCATTCTGCCTCTGCTTCCTGCTCACTTATCCAATATAAGCCCTAGGTCACCAGAGATCATGGGCTAATAATTTGAGAGTAATTCCGATCAGTGCCTGTCAACATAGATAAATCTACCTCCAAATCCTGGCTGGTGTTTTGGTGTTGCTGCTTGTCACTGCAGAATAATCAAAAGTCCAGCTAGCCCATCCTCTTTACGGTGGCCCATGAGATTGTTTGATTTGCTCTCTTGCCTCTTTGATAGCTCCAGGTTTGACCCCTTACCTGCCCTTCACTCTCGCTCTGGGTTTCTGCTCTTCCTACATCCTTTTCTTAAAACAGTCTTTCAAGACATGCACCTCACATGCTTTCACGTCTGTCTTCCTGCATCTGTATGTCTGTTTCTTGAGGTGTCTCTTAAATACCACAGTAATATACTTTATACTTAGTTTTGTGTTGTAAGATAATTTGCTGAGAGCCAGGTTATTTAAGTAAAACATCAATGTTTTTAAAATGCTAATATGACTAATGCCAAGGTGCCATTCCAAGTATTTGCTTACCCTTTGCTGTTATGAAGTATTAGTTGGTGAAAGATAACTTGTCTTGGTTACTTTTCTCTCATTGCTGAGAAAAACTAGCTAACATCCAAAGTTAAAGAGGGAAAGGTTTATTTAGCTCTAAGTTTGTGGAGTTCTCAATCCATACTCCCCAGCTGCAAGGCAGGGTGGCATGGCAAGGTGGCAAAAGACAGCAAAAGCAACAAGAGCAAAAGGAGGGGCGCAGCTTCTTTTCCTTGTATAGTATACACAATCTTCACCCTAGGGTGGTTCCTTTACACCCATACTTTCTCCATACCTGTTCTCTTGCACAGGCTCAGGATGTTTACAGAGTGAGGACCCTGACTTCCTGCTGAGTCCCTTAGTTGAGCATTTCAAGTTGGACATCTCAAGTTGACACAGTTTATCAACCATTACAGTAATTGTCTCACTTTGGTATTCCCTTGTTGTTCATGGGACTGAGCATTTTCGATTAGTAGTAATTTGTATTTTCTCCTAAAGTCATACCTTTTACTGTTTTTAATTGAGTTGGTGCTTTAACTAATTTATTAAAATGTATTATGTATAATGGCAATTAGCTTCTTTTATATATGTTTTGTGAAATTTTACTTATTGGAAAAAAAAATTGCTAGTAATAAGTCATCCAGAGGTTCTTTTGGCAGGTGATGTTCTAGTACATTCAGTTCAGATGTTGATAAATGCAGTTTCACAATAACTCTAATGGTAATTGCTTCATTTGAAAAGCTAGAGTTGTATATCCCTGTACTTTTACTTAATTTGCCTATGTAAGCTGACTTACGGAAAACAGGAATTAC